GTATACAATATAAATTGAATCTGGTCTCACCATGTCAAATAGACGCATTATGATACCGTTATTTCATGACATACACAGCCGCCAGGATTTATCTGTGCGCAACTGGATGATCGAAAAATATCTGCTTAAGTAAAAATGAGTTATGCTAAAAATCCGTTACGAAATTATATGCAAAACCGACAAATATACTATACCTATATTTGAGTCAGCCGATGTTGTTGACTCTGAAGAAGTTGTGAGATCAGGCAGAATTGTATAGAGTGAATCTGATGTAATAAATGTTTAATGAAAAAAAGTATTAGTATGTTATTTTAATTATTGCTTAAAAGGTTATATAATTTCAAGTTTATTTTATTGTGTACTTTAAGACGAATCCCCTCTTAGACATAAGTCTTCGGTGCAGACTACTGAAAGGGCCGTGTGGGTAGTAACATTCTTCGTATGAACATTGCCCCTATTCACGTTAAAACTAATGCCTTTTCATTATGCTACAATGTAGAATTTTATTATTATACCATTTTGTATTTCAAACAAGAAGCCGCTATATCCTAATGGTTGATGCATACATTACGGTACCGGTAGTTCTTATTATATACAAAACACCTTGCAGCATTCCGTATAAAAATGTTTCTGTGAATGATGATTACGTTTGTGCAGTAATGGTTGCGGTGATAGAAAATATATTTTCAATTACAAAATTAAAGTACCTTCTACAAATATGCTGATGTCATCAATTGCAATGTCACTTGTAAATGAGGTTCCATCAATGCCTTCGAATACGATGTAGGTACCACTGTATCCATAACTCTGGAATTGTACTTTGGCGTAATGCCACGAATTCCATTGATTACCAGATCGTGACCATATAATGTCATAGCCGTTGGTGGATTTTCTGTAAACGTTAAGTGTTCCCATTTTAGATCCGTACATATGGTAGTAAAACTCCAAACTGTAACTTTTCGCCAGTGGTAGCAATGGACTCTGTAGACGAGCTGACATTCCAGTAGATATAGGATCCGAAGTTTCAATATAAATATAGTAATCCACTGAAACAATAGAAACATCAATTATTGATTAGTTTAGGAAATTAATTTGCGTCAGGAAATTATCATAGGAGTGATGTTTTGCCCTACCTGACGTGTAATCATACTGAATACTCAGTACGTCCCCAAAAATACTAGCGAAAAAAATAATCGCGAGTGATTCGGGTGATCTAGCCTGATGTCTTAACCACTAGACCACCGAGCTTGCGCTTGGTGACTAGTGATGAATTCGATTCCCTAATAGCAACGGGAACTGCAAGTGTTATTAGGAAATGAGTTTGCGTCAGGAAATAAAACGTTGGCAAGATGAAGATTTGATCAATAAAAAATGATCAATGACTCAATTATTACATTTACTCAATCAATGACTTAATGATACAGAAAATAAATAAATAAATACAGTAGTAATTTAATTAAATTTATATTACGTAAATAAATAAACAAATAGGTGAATTAATAAACGAGGATCGAGCGTATGAAAGTACAAACAAATTGATTGGATTGGAATTCTTCAACGTGAAGGATAGCCTACAAATTTAGAAGATATAATTCCATTTAGACCTTCTGTCGGTGATTTGAGCTGTAAACCGATGGAAAATCACCTACTTTTTCTATAACATGTATTGCGTTCATTAAAGTCCGCATGGGCAATAAAGCACATGGGACCAACGGCTTACACTTTCATCCAAAAGACGGTGCGCTTTCGTAGCCTGCATTTTAGCCTCCAATTGAAACACAAGAACAACGGATGAAATTGAACCAGGGAATTAGTAAAGATCTCCCTGGTCATGCGTAAGGGACAGTTGCGCCAATTTAACTGACTGATCTAGGCTACTTTCTAAACGAAGACAGACAAGCAAAAAACTCAAAATAGCCAGTTAGTCGGTTAAGCGATTAGTAAGCCAGTGAATTAATCAGTCAGTAAGTTAGTCAATCAGTCATGGTGTGTTTGAAAAATATATGTAGGCCTACTCACGGCTATAACCTGAGTGACCGTTTGTTGGTCCAGTGCCAGTCGATTTCGTGAAACCGTATATTCGTGTCCAATCGAAATCGTCACCAAATTCTTGATGCCAACCTCCCCAATCATTTTGGAAGTTAGTTACTATAAAAAAAAGTAAGCACAAAGAAAGTGTTACAAAAGCAATAGAATCCTTCAACGGTAATGTTAACTTATAGTTATACGTCCATATTCTCCATCTTTTTTCGGTTGGTTGGTTTTCTTCGGAGAGATGACCTAATTCACCATAGTAAGAAAACTTATTTACAGTGGGGGGGGGGGGTGTTGGTGCGGTGAATTAAAAATTAGAACGAACAATCTTGGTAAGTAAGACAGATGAATATACTATTGTTGAGTCTGTTGTTTTCTCAGTAATCATGTGATAAGTTGTTGCATCATGTGTTGTGATGTGTTTCTCCGTCGAGTAACGTTGTTTTGTTGTGAAATCAGTCGGAATTGTGTGAAATGATTCTGTTGCATTGGCTGAAGTTCAGCTAGTATTTTAAAGAACGTTTTGCTTACTAGTTTCGGCACCCTCCGTATGACATTTCTTGATAATAATTCAAGTTCTCAAGTATTATGTAGGCCTACACCAGTATCATGTTTAAATAATTTTTATTATATTACAATCGGCAGGGTAGTTTAAAACGTCACTAATGAGATGCCCTTTGTTTTGGCTAGTCTAAGTTACAAATCAGAATTATAACAATAACAATTGAAATTGATCTCGCCATGTAAAACAGACCCATATAATATCGTTATTTCCTGGCATGCATAACCGGCCGCCAGGATTTATCGGTACGCAGATAGACAAAACGACTATGAATGATGATCAAGCTGTATGTATTGATTGCCGTGTTGGAAAATATATTTTTGAATAACAAAATCAAAGATACCTTCGACACTGATGAGTATGTCATCAATTGCTATGTCCCCTGTAAATGACGTTCCGTCAATACCTTCGAATGCGATATAGTTGTCGCTATTTCCATAACGCTGGAATTGTATTTTGGCGTAATGCCATGAATTCCCTTGGTTACCAGATCTTGACCATAGATAACTATAGCCGTTGGTGGATTTTCTAAAAACGTTAAGTGTTCCCATTTTAGCTCCATACATATGGTAGTAAAACTCTAAACTGTAATTTTGCGCCAATGGTAGTAATGGACTCCGTAGAATCGCTGACGCTCCAGCAAATATAGAAGTAGTTTCAATGTATGCATAATAATCACCTAAAACAATAGAAATATCAATGATTGATTACCTAATCAATTAAAACAAAGCGAGATAAAATATTTAAATAAATAAACCAAGGATAAATGAAATATATTATTACATTTACTCAATCAATCAATGACTTGATAAATAAAAAAATATATAAGTAAATGAATAAATACATTGAATAATTATACGAACGAAAAAGCGAACTGATTGATTGGATTTGGATTTTTTTTTTTAGAGTGAAGGAGCCCACGGAAATCCTAAGACATTTCTAGTGGTCAATTGTGTAGTTCACCGGGGGTAATCACCTACTTTTTTTCAAAACAGTGAACTGCGTTCTTTAGTGGAGTAACGCCCTTGCCCATGCACAATTCGGCTTGGTAGGGTGGGGCATTTGACGATATTGTATGGAACGCCAACTCGCGATTTCGGCCTTTCGCGAGGCTGGGATGTTTGCAGGAAGAAGGGAACTCCTGTATAAATGACAATTGCCACTCTCCCATCTTTTGAAAGATTTAAAGGCCAACAATAGTATTAGCCTGAAAATTCTCATAAATGGCCCCCACCCCAAAAGTAGAAAATAAGCTGATGACTCTTATCTGTACACTTTTTTGCTGGCTAAAAAGCACCTAACATGGTAAGGGCGATTGGGTGTGGGGTGGGGTCTGGATGTCTTTGACTATAATTTTAGAAAGACCTTTGCAAATTAATGTCAAATTACCTTTTAAATAAGAAGAACATGAGCCAAAAATAATAATATTCTTTATAATGTTAAAGCAATTGTAAGATAAGCCTAGGCCTACTGGTAAAACTATGGGTACAAAATGGATTGTACAGTACATGCTAAAATGTATGGGGCATTCCTTATTCCTCACGTATCGACTTAGTTTAGTGATGGTCAATTTATAATATTTTTTCCCATTATATTTAGTGAACCTCCGTACACACTGAAGCGATACGTTCCACTTCTTACCTACTACACTATGGAGGTATTATTATAATTTTAATTAAGATATCACTATTAAACATCGCCCTATTACAATAATTACTTCGAAATTTCAAATCAATAAATATTTATGGACATCTATATTAACTAAACGTAGACTAGTATATATGATTTTAAATAATAATTATTATTATCACCATTATTATCATCAATAATATCATGTTATTATATGTTATTTTCATGTGAATAAAGATGGATTTATTTACACCATAGTTAAGTTTTGGTTAGGGTCCTTTCCAACAGGGCCATTGTCAAAGTACACCTTTTTTGGCCTGTCACTTGCTGTACCCCTCGTTATTTACATTTAGTAAATAATGAGGGGTACAGCAAGTGACAGGCCAAAAAAGGTTACAATGAGTAAATAAGTTAAACCTGAATCTGAAACCTGAACAACAAAATAAATGAATAAAAAGGTTAAACATTCCCCACATGAATAAAATATACGAGCGGTACTGGGTAAAGACAATTTGATTCCTAGCTGCAAACACAGTATCCTTTCGTAAAAATCTTATGAAAATAAGCCTACCCAGGGGTCATAAAAGGGTCAGGGACTAGGACATACCTTCAACTTTATATTGACAAAGATAGAATAATGTTAAATACAGAACACAATGTATACATACGCCTAAGCCTAGAGTTCAGTAAGAATCATGAGTAAATTTCCTAAACGATTAAAATTTAATCGGCTTTATTAAATTGATTACAAGATTGAAAATTGTTAATCTTATTATTGTAGCGAATACTATGTCCACATTTAAATGAATGTTATTTTTTTAGTTAATATAAATATTATTTATATTCATATTTAAAGCATTGTTTGAAAAAGAAATATAAAATATTACGTCTATGTATTCAAATAGTCTTACCTATTTTAAATTATAAAAAGGTTAAACATTCCCCACATGAATAAAATATACGAGCGGTACTGGGTAAAGACAATTTGATTCCTAGCTGCAAACACAGTATCCTTTCGTAAAAATCTTATGAAAATAAGCCTACCCAGGGTCATAAAAGGGTCAGGGACTAGGACTTACCTTCAACTTTATATTGACAAAGATAGAATAATGTTAAATACAGACCACAATGTATACATACGCCTAAGCCTAGAATTCAGTTAGAATCATGAGTAAATTTCCCACACGATTAGATTATAAACGGCTTTTTTAAATTGATTATAAGATTGAAAATTGTTAATCTTATTAGTTATCCGATACACCCACGGTTCCTCGTCTAGAGAGCCAAAACTGCCAGGGGTTTTGGCTCTCAAGACGAGGAACCGTGGGTGTATTGGGTGCATTATTAGGCATTTTTCGTTTTGACGACGTGGCCAGTCTACTACGAACAAATAGAGCGTAACAGACATCTGCGCATGCTCACAAAACTTACTGGCTAAATCGGCGTTGTGATAGCTTCCGCGACAACCGAATTTCTGAATTTGACGTAGTGGCGACTACCCTAATATTGACCAATCAGATAACCGGATTCTTTGGCAAACTGCTGGTATAAGCAGGTAGATGTGTATAAGAGACAGGTTGCAATTTTCATCGCCTCCGCCGAGCATTATTCGTTCAATAATTAAATAATTATTAAAACAAGTGAGTAATTAAATGTTTTATGAAGGCCTATTTACACACATATAATAAATAAGGAATGAATAGTTACAACATAAAATTAGGTAAATCAGGGGATAGTGAAAAAATGGGCCTCTTAGGCTTAGGCCTAGGCTAGCCTAGCCTTGTCATGATGGATTTCGGGTAGGAGAAAACACGTTATCTGGTGCCGCTAGCTAGGGTATCTGCGCCCATGATATCGTGGATCAAGCCTTGCTATATAAATACATCTGTTTAAAATTACATTTATTTGTACATCATCGTTGCATTTGGCAAATTGCCTGAGCAGGCCTGGCACCCCTCTTCTCCCGGTTCCCGACTCTTTTGACACCATAGGCTAGGCTAGGCCTAGCGTAGGCCTAGATCCTAGCCAACAGCGAAACATCACTCAGTGTTTTCTGGAAACTTTTTATTTTACATACAGTATTTGACTAAAGATTTTTTTTTCACATTTCCTTTTTCAAATATAAAACAAGGGAACAATCCCTGGTAATAAAACCATGGTCGACTAACTCTCCTCCGTAGGCCTACGTACGTGTGCTGCGTCGTCGTAGTCGCCTTAAAAAAACGAAAACAGCTCTTGGTGTAGCACGCGAACAGTGTCTTGGCGTTGCCGTCACGGTCCATTAGTTCGTAGTAGACTGGCCGCGTAGTCAAAACGAAAAATGCCATTGTAGCGAATACCGGTACTATGTCCACATTAAAATTAATGTTATTTATTAGTTAATATAAACGTTATTTATATTTATATTTAAAGCATTGTTTAAAAACGAATTAAGAAATATTACGTCTATGTATTCAAATAGTCTTACCTATTTATTTGTATATACATTTAGTATAGTGTATAACATGTTATAATGTGAAAATCCAAAAGGAGGATGAAAACATAAGCAGGTTTAATTGAGGCATGTTCTGGCGAAATGGTTAACTTGTCGCACAGTCCAGTATTGAGTAAATGAACTATAAAATATGGGAGCTCAAATATTACATAAAAATCTAAATTTGTTTTTCACTATAGATCAACAGTTTAATGTCTTATTAATCATGTCCCAAAGTATTAGTTCTGGAAGTGGTTTAACAAATTGTTTATTTAACGTTATTTTTCATAGTTCATTCTATTAAGCAATGTATGCACAAATAACTTTGAAAGGTAATTACTCAAAATCGTGTTTATCTGACTCTAAGAGTAATTCTACATTCACTTTCCAATAACTTAGGCTTGAAATTTCCAATTTGAATGAATGACCCCTCATTTTAAAGATCACATACTCAGGTATCTGAAAATACCAATAACTTGAATTTCAATTTTTGCTACAACTTGGCCATTTTGCCACAACATGCTTCGATTTGCTGCTGTAACGATATGTGATCAATATACTTTGTGGGCGCATTTTTAAGTAATATGAATAACACTTCATTATTTGAGGTATATTTATTCAAATTTCAATATTCATAACAAACATACATAGCAGCAAAAGTCTGAATTGCGTATGAATTTACAAAGGTAAAATATTAAAACAGCAGAAAAATTACAAATAAAAAAAAGAAGAATACGGGACGTACCCCGTCATCTAAAATGTCAATTTTATTCTATGGAGATATCTGAATGATGTGACCAAGGTCAATGAACAAGACTATTACTAGTTCTAATTCAGACACCCAATAATTTGGAATTTATAAATATTAACAATGATTTTATTCTTCAGCAACTAAATTCATTAGATACTTCTTCTGCTTCTGGCTTAGATTGTTTGGATACTAAACTCTTTAAATTAGCAGCGCCTGTTATAACACTACATCTCACTTACCTTTTTAATATGTCCCTTCGCTCTGGTCACTTTCCAACTAAATTGAAGCACGGCAAATTTGTTCCCATCCACAAATCAGGCCCGCTTTATGACACCTAATTACCGGCCTATATCTGTTTTTCCCTCATGTTCCAAACATTTTGAAAGAGCCGTACACCATGTACCACCAACTTACCAACTTTATCTCCATCAACAACCTCCTTATCTACTAATCAATCAGGCTTCCGATATGGGTTTTCTACCCTCACTGCTATTACTAACTGCTATGACACCTGGCTCACTAACATAAATAATGGTCTCCTCACTGACGTTGCATTAATCGACTTGAGGAAGGCATTTGATATGGTTGACCACCAAATCCTCCTGCGTAAAATAACTTATTATGGCATCACAAAAACTCCATTAATATGGTTCAAGTCATTTCTTACTGACAGAACTCAACAAGTTTCATTTAATAATTCTCTTTCACAAAACAAGGTTCAATTCTTTGCCCTTTACTTTTTAACCTCTTTATAAATGACCTTACCTCAGTAACTACGCATTCTGTCAGCGAAATGTATGCCGACGACACTATTTTTTCACGTCTCAGACAAGTCCCTTTTCACTATAGCCAACAAACTAATATCTGACTTCCTTAAAATTTCAAACTGGCTACGAAATAACAGACTAATCCTTAATTTCGAAAAATCCGAAGTCATGCTAATTGGAACACCTCAACGTATAGCTAATGAACAACTTAACATCACTCTAAATAACCAAATAATTCGACAAGTAACTTCTCACAAACACCTAGGATTACTTATTGACAACAAATTAACATGGCAACCACACATTCGTAAACTAATCTACCATCGCATACAAAGTATTGCCAGAGCACGACAATTTCTTGATCGACGCACCTCACTTCTCATTTACAATACACTAATCCTACCTTATATAGATTACTGCGCCTCCATCTGGGGTAATAGAAGCGTCCAGAATGTCCACAAAATTCAGAAGCTGCAAAATCGATCTCTTCGCTTAATTCTCGAAGTACATCCTCGCACATCCTCTTCTGCACTTTTCTCAACGTTGCACCTAATGACTGTCTCTCAATGAGTGAAATTTCAACTTGGCTGCCTCGCTTTTTTAAATCAAACACTCTGTCCTTGGCAATATTTAAAACCAGATTCAAGTCCTGAATCTTCGATTCCCATTGATTGTTCTTTGGTACACGCTGTCGCTCTATTGATGTTCTCCTCTCTCTTTATTCACTATTTACACTTGAATTTTTATTTCAATTATGTATTATAACTGACCTTTTTAAATTATGTATAAATATTATAAATCTATCAATTCTTGATTTTTATGTAATTACCGTTTTTTTCTCCTTTTCTGTATTGTCTTTGAGTTGTCAAAGTGGGCCCATACGTATCAGCTATGCTGGAAAGGGTCACCCACTTTAAACATTGTTGAACAGTACCCGTTGTACAATTTATGACGTAAGCATGTGATGAGGCAACTACTGCAAACACTTTATTCGTTTATTAGATAATTAGCAAGGTTACACATTTATTAAATTTTTGTACAAATTGACTTTATTTACTTAGGTAGACCTAGTAGGTTATTTGGAGTAATAAAATAGTAGTACAATAGCTAAAGTCTGTCTCTTATACACATCTAGATGTGTATAAGAGACAGGATTTTTATTGCTTGTGCTGTTAATTACTAGGCTTAAATTTTATTTTTTTCATATTTCTACACTCCGATGGGAAGCAAATTTCCAATTGTGGATGTAGATGATTGAGGAATTGAATACTAATTAACTGAATATGTAAATGATGATTTAAAAGGAGGTAGAACATACTAGTAAATCGGAATTTCCAGAACATTCAATAAATGAAAGAAAAAATCATGCTCTAGGGTACACTATAGTATTGAAAATATGTTTGGAATTATTTGTCTAAATACAGTTTAATTCAGGGGTGGCACCAGGATTTTCCCGACGGGGGTGGGGGCGAGGTTCCAATAGGGGGATGTCCCCCGACGAGAACAAAGTAATAATAATAATAATAATATAGTAAAAATGAGTTTATTTTCATTTTGATGCCAAATGGCGTTCCATACAAAAGACGTCAAGGGGCGCAGCGCAATACTAAAGTTTAGCAATGCAAATCTAAAGTGGCGCAGTGTAAACTCAAATGCGTGTGCCACCACTTGGCTTTTGCACTGCCACTTAACTTTTACACTGCGCCACTTGTGGTTTGTCCTTTTGGTGATATCACACCAAAAGGACAAACTAACATCGGCAGTTCAAAAGTCATCGCAAATGTCAAGTACAGTGGTAGATCCAGGAATTTGAAATAGAGGTGGCCCGAAGAGGGACTTTCACAGGCGGGGGGTCTATGGTTGGGGCTGAGGTAAGAATATTAATGACTATGGCACCTGTAAATGGCCGGAAATGGCACTCCTAGACTCAAAATTTTATTCGAACTTTCTTTTTTTCTTAATTAAAAAAATTTGACAAATTTAGGTAAGGGGGGTGGGGCGGGTCGGCTCCCCCCTCCCCCTTTGAATCCGCCTATGAGTGCTGGCACAAGCATTTTTAGTTTGCTTTAGTTTTGCACAGTGCCACTTGACTTTTGCACGGCCACTTGACTTTTGCGCTGCGCCACTTGTAATTTGTCCTTTTGGCGTTCCATACGAGTCTGCCCTGCCTGCTCCAAACGACTCAGTCGAATGATCCGCCCGAGTAAGCTCTGTCAGCTGTGACCGAAAAATATAATATAAATAACGTTCTAAAATCTACATCTTATCTTCCGATCAGCACCAAATTCGTTGACCAAGGTAGGCCTATATTGTTATAGGCCTATTGCGATTGTATAAACATTTGGAGAAAATCAGTCCATTAGTTTTTGAGCTTTGCGTCCTGAAGGACACACACACACCACGGCAGACATATAGACACATACTCTTTGCCTCTCCTTCGGACAGGTGAGTGTAATAAACCGGTTAGTCAGTTAATCGATTATAAATACAGTGAATCAGTCAGTCGGTTTGTCAATCTGTAGGTTAGTCAATTAGCCATGGTGTTTGGCAAATACATGTAGGTCTACTCACGACTATAACCTGAGTGACCGCTTGTTGGTCCAGTGCCAATTGATGATGTGGAACCGTATTTCCGTGTCCAATCGAAATCGTCACTAGATTCTTGATACCAACCTCCCCAACCATATTGGAAGTTAGTTACTACGAAAAAATGAAGCACAAAGAAAGTGTTACAAAAGCAATAGAATCCTTCAACGGTCATGTTAACTTATAGTATACATTTATGCTTCATCTTTTTCAGTTGGTTGGTTTTCTTCGGAGAGATAACCTATAAATTCACCATAGTAAGAAGACTTATTTACAGTTGGGGCTTCGGCCCGTGAATTAAAAATTAGAACGAGCAATTATCTATCTTGGTAAGTAAGACAGATGTATATATTATTTAACATCATTCTTCTTACTATCCACCTTTACATTGGCTGTATAATACGTTTATTGATTTCAATATTAAAAATGTAAATGTCTCATTAAAAGTTGATTACTAATTGAACTCATGTAAATAAGAAATTAGACATTTTATCTAGTGTCACAGTACCCGTTGTACAATTTATGACGTAAGCATGTGATGAGGCAACTACTGCAAACACTTTATTCGTTTATTAGATAATTAGCAAGGTTACACATTTATTAAATTTTTGTACAAATTGACTTTATTTACTTAGGTAGACCTAGTAGGTTATTTGGAGTAATAAAATAGTAGTACAATAGCTAAAGTAGTCGTCTACTTTATGACATGTCGTCGTCTCATTGGTTGTCCCGTTTTGAGAGGTTTTCTCTCATGTGGTTGGATGGCAAATGTAGCCATTATGAACCTGTACATAAATAGATGATCGAAAAATAATCGCTTTTAAGTTTAGTATTTAAAACAAAATATTGATTGTAAAATTAAGACAAAACGACCAACATACCTATATTTGAGTCCGTCGATGCTGTTGAATCAGAATGACTGGTTACTTCAATAGAAGTTGTTGCACCCGTGCTACCTTTAGCCGTTATATAAAAAGACGTTGTTTGGTTTTCTGTGGAGTATCTTTGTTTAGTTGTTAATTGTGATGTAATGTCAGAGGTTGTAAGATCATCTATAGTTTTATGGGGTGAATCTATTGTTGAGTCTGTTGTTTTCTCAGTAATCATATGATAAGTTGTTGCATCATGTGTTGTGATGTGTTTCTCCGTCGAGTAACGTTGTTTTGTTGTGAAATCAGTCGGAATTGTGTGAAATGATTCTGTTGCATTGGCTGAAGTTCAGCTAATATATTAAAGAACGTTTTGCTTACTAGTTTCGGCACCCTCCGTATGACATTTCTTGATAATAATTCAAGTTCTCAAGTATTATGTAGGCCTACACCAGTATCATGTTTAAATCATTTTTATTATATTACAATCGGCAGGGTAGTTTAAAACGTCACTAATAAGATGCCCTTTGTTTTGGCTAGTCTGAGTTACAAATCAGAATTATAACAATAACAATTGAAATTGATCTCGCCATGTAAAACAGACCCATATAATATCGTTATTTCCTGGCATGCATAACCGGCCGCCAGGATTTATCGGTACGCAGATACGACAAACGACTATGAATGATGATCAAGCTGTATGTATTGATTGCCGTGTTGGAAAATATATTTTTGAATAACAAAATCAAAGATACCTACGACACTGATGAGTATGTCATCAATTGCTATGTCCCCTGTAAATGACGTTCCGTCAATGCCTTCGAATGCGATATAGTTGTCGCTATTTCCATAACGCTGGAATTGTATTTTGGCGTAATGCCACGAATTCCCTTGGTTACCAGATCTTGACCATAGATAACTATAGCCGTTGGTGGATTTTCTAAAAACTTGAAGTCTTCCTATTCCAGATCCGTACATGTGGTAGTAAAACTCTAAACTGTAATTTTGCGCGAATGGTAGCAATGGACTCCGTAGAATCGCTGACGCTCCAGCAAATAGAGAGGTAGTTTCAATGTATGCATAATAATCCTCTAAAACAATAGAAAGATCAATAATTGATTACCTCAATTAAAACAAGGCGAGATAAGATATTTAAATAAATAAACCAAGGATAAATGAAATCTATTATTACATTTACTCAATCAATCAATGACTTGATAAATAAAAAATATATAAGTAAATGAATAAATAAATTCTGATTGATTGGATGTGGATTTTTTCAGAGTGAAGGATAGCCCACAGGAATCGTAAGACATATTTCAGTGGTTCGTTGGCCTTTCGCGAGGCTGAGATGTATAAATAAAACTTCTGTATAAATTACATAAGTTGAAATTACTTGGGAAACTGTCTTTTGTCTTGCCACTCTCCCATCTTTTGAAAGATTTAAAGGTCAGCAATACGTATTTTAATGTCTTTTTTTACACATGTCTTTTTTTTATGCATCGTGATTTGACCAAAAAAAGCATAGGCCTATTTAATTTTAACTAAGATATTACTAATAAACATAGGTCTATTACAATAAATACTAAACAAAACGAGTCAATTATAATCAATAAATATATTTATGGACATTTATTTTAATGAAACGTAGATTGGTATATGATTATAAATAATAATATTTACGCCATAGTTATGTTTTGGTTAGGGTACTTTTCCAACAGGGCCATTGTCAAAGTATACATTTTTGGCCCTGCCACTTGCTGTACCCCTCCTTAGTTACGTTTATTATTTAAGTTACAATGAGTAAATAAATTAAACCTGAACCTGAAACTCTACAACAAAATAAATGAATAAAAAGGCCTAAAAATTTCCCACACGAATAAAATATGCGAGCGGTACTGGGTTAAGACAATTTGATTTCTTGCTGTAAACACGGTATCCTTTCGTAGAAATCTTATGAATTTAAGCCTACCCAGGGGTCATAAAAGGGTCGGAGACTAGGACATACCTTCGAATTTAAATTGACAAAGATAAAAAAAAATGTTATTTAAATGTAATTTATGGACATCTATATTAACTAAACGTAGACTGGTATATATGATTTTAAATAATAATAATTATTATCACCATTATTATCATCAATAATATCATGTTATTATATGTTATTTCATGTGAATAAAGATGGATTTATTTACACCATAGTTAAGTTTTGGTTAGGGTCCTTTTCCAACAGGGCCATTGTCAAAGTACACCTTTTTTGGCCTGTCACTTGCTGCACCCCTCATTATTTACGTTTAGTATTTAAGTTACAATGAGTAAATAAGTTAAACCTGAACCTGAAACCTGAACAACAAAATAAATGAATAAAAAGGTTAAACATTCCCCACATGAATAAAATATACGAGCGGTACTGGGTAAAGACAATTTGATTCCTAGCTGCAAACACGGTATCCTTTCGTAAAAATCTTATGAAAATAAGCCTACCCAGGGGTCATAAAAGGGTCAGGGACTAGGACATACCTTCAACTTTATATTGACAAAGATAGAATAATGTTAAATACAGAACACAATGTATACATACGCCTAAGCCTAGAGTTCAGTAAGAATCATGAGTAAATTTCCTAAACGATTAAAATTTAATCGGCTTTATTAAATTGATTACAAGATTGAAAATTGTTAATCTTATTATTGTAGCGAATACTATGTCCACATTTAAATGAATGTTATTTTTTTAGTTAATATAAATATTATTTATATTCATATTTAAAGCATTGTTTGAAAAAGAAATATAAAATATTACGTCTATGTATTCAAATAGTCTTACCTATTTTAAATTTGTATATACATTTAGTATAGTGTATAACATGTTATAATGTGAAAATCCAAAAGGAGGATGAAAACATAAGCAGGTTTAATTTGCTGCTGTACGATATGTGATTAATATACTTTGTGGGCGCGTTTTTGAGTAATATGAATAACACTTCATTATTTGAAGTATATTATTCAAACTTCAATATTCGTAACAAACATACATAGAAGCACAAGGTTAAATCGCGTATGGATTCAAAAAGGTAAAATATGAAAGCAGCAAAAAATGTCAAGTTTATTCTATGGAGACATCTGAATGATATGACCAAGTTGTTCAATAAACAAGACTATTACTGTACCAACTCTTACCAACACTCATGATATCACATCATCAGTTCACCGCTACATAGTGGGGCCTATGCTATTTCTCCAGTAACCAACATTCTGCAATACTTCCAGATAAATATGTATGGCCAACATATTTTTTTTAATTATTTTTCACTATTAAATCTTA